GAGGGCCCCTGACAGCATGGTGTGTGTGGCTGATGCTTGCCTTCCCCTGCAGCAGAGGCTGTAGATGGAGATTCCAGACGGCACGTGTCAGCGGCTCCCCCAGGAGCAAGGCTTATCCCCAGCCAGTTTACAATTACTCACATTTGGCCAGCTTCAAATCAAAAGAAAATGTCCCATTGAAGTACTCAATCTCAGTGGACTTGGAAACTTCAGATTAACAGCACTTCCTTGTAACGGAAAGTAACATTTAACTCTTTAGAGTTGGCTGATGATGATTTGGCTGCACACAAACTGACAAGGACCGATTTCTTTGGTCTCAGCATGTGCTTCAGAGAAGCCACGGAGTGGTACACTCAGGTAGCGAATGCTCCAAGGGCGTCCAGCTTTACTGCGGAGCTGGGCATAGAGTTATGGCAAAGTTTTTTTCTGTAGAGGATGTTCTGATCTTGGGCATGAAGACATACTCACAATGGCCATTTATTCAGCATCTTAACTTCAACAGCATTGCAGAGCACGTGTCCTGAGGAGAAGGTCAGAGAAGTCCTAGGGAAACTCTGGCCTTTGTGTCTCCTCCTCTCCTCTCACTTGCGTCTTTCCTTCCTTCAAAGTCCCTTTGTGCATCCAGGCCATGGACTGGGCTTTATATTTTCATCTCCCAGGTTAAGGAGAGCAGGGTGCCTGTGCAGGCAGGCTAAGGGTAGGGCTAAGCCTTTCCCCAGGGGATCTCTGGGCAAGGACTGAGGCTAAGGAGGAGGTGAAGCGAAGTTGGAGCTGGGCAGAGCAGAGAGGCCGGGGGCTGCAGGCAGGGATGGAGCTACCTGCAGACAAGGGGAAATGGCCTCAAGTTGCGCCAGGGCAGATTTAGGTTGCACATTAGGAAAAATTTTTTCACCAAAAGGGTTGTCGAGCATTGGAACGGGCTGGCCAGGGAAGTGGTTGAGTCCCCATCCCTGGAGGTATTTAAAAGACAGGTAGATGAGGTGCTTAGGGACATGGTTTAGAGGTGGGATGGCAGGGGTGGGTTAATGGTTGGACTTGATGATCTTACAGGTCTTTTCCAACCTAAACAATTCTATGATTCTAGGCTGGATGGGACACATCCTGCCTGGAGCTGAGCGGACAGGACCTGCTGCATTGATCAAAGCCCAGGGATCTGCATAGGTGATCCACGGGGTTCCAGCTGTGACTGAGGTGATGGCAGCAGTCTCTGCCCGTCTCCATCTGGAATGTCTGGGTTGTTGATGTCTGCACTTTTCCTAACAGAGCTGGGGTTTTGAGTATGAATTTGGGAAGAGTATTTTTGGGGGGAATACTTCTGCTTGGGGGAATGGGTGCAGCAGGAACTCTGCTTTCTTGTAGCCTCTACTGTGACAGACATTAACAACAGGCGCTAGGCAGGCTAGATTTGATTTACTTTTGATGTACACTCAAGGTAGGCCTTGCCTACCAACAGACTCTCTGAATCGGCTTTGGTTGGCAGCGTTACAGTGGCATTAGCCCAGCACAAGATGGGGCATCCCAGTCACTGAGCAGCTTTCCGGGAAACCTCCCTGTGAAAAAACAAGTCTTCTTTCCGAAAGAACTAAAAAATGTCATCTTGGCTGCGAGCATCTGGCTGCTCTGTGCTCCCTGTGAGACTGGAGCACGGGCTTTAAACTTCTGCAGGTTTTAATTAAAACCAAAATGAGATGTAGTCGTCACCATGACAACAGCAACATTTAACACTTGGCAAGAGTCGTAACAAAGCACTGGAAGTGTTGGGGACTCCTTCGGGGGTTGCTCATTTCCGAGAAAGCCCAAGGAACATGCAGCAAGCGCCCGCTCGCTGGGGTGAGATGCTGGTGCCCAACGGGATGGGGTAAATCAAGCAGAAAGGTGCACTTCTGCAGCGTTGGGTTTCCAAATGAGAAAACTTGCATAAAAACCCAGGTAATGCCAAATGCATCCCTGCAAGGTGGGGCTGGGGCAGGTGTGTGCATCCCTTCCCTCCCACGGTGCCGGTTCTTGTGGGCTCTGCTCCCCAGGGTGGCCAGAGCAGGCTGTCGAGGGATGGTCCCAAATGGGAGCAGAGAATGGGAAAGCACCAGCTAAGCCCTCCTGGCACACGGCGGGCTCGGCCTGGCCTCCAGCAGGACTTACTTTCCACGAGTGCCCTCAGTTGCGGTGTTGTGCAGTCCTGGACAGACGGCTGCTGGACAGACGGCTGCTGGACACACGGCTGCTA